TTTCTTCCTGTTTCCTTTCTCGTTCTAGTTGCCACTGCTGTAATCTCTTTTCTTGTTTCTTTTCTCGTACTTCTTGTTTCTTTTCTTTTTCCTCCAACAACTGCTGTAATCTCTCTTGTTTATTTTGTTGTTCGAGCTGCCACTGTTGCAGGTTTTCTTGCAACTGCTGTTGTCTCTCTTCTTGTTTCTTTTGTTTCTCCTCCAACCACTGCTGTAATTTCTCTTCTCGTTCTTCTTGTTTCTTTTGCTGCTCTTGTATTGCTAAGCTGTAGTTTGATTTGCCACTTCTCGTTTCCATTTTTTGTACCACTCTCTGACACCAATTTGTTATGCCTCCGTTCGTTCGATAATTTTCCATAAAAATTCTTTCCGAAGAAACTTTAGCGATACAAGTCCTTTCTTTAATAAAACTGGTTTATTCTTTCTGAATACAACTTTGCATTACACTTAATTTCCACAGTCACGCTATAATTCACAACGAACATCTAAGTGCTCGCTCAACAATACGTTTCTCTCTGTCCGCAGTTTAATTACACATTACATTCTTGCCGTCACTTCTTACCGGTCTTATATACACAAGAATACCGCATATCTAGTAAAAGCTCGAGACTTCACGAACCTTCGAGAATATGACGTGTTACTAGCGTCACGTGACCTTCGCTGTCGTAACAATATTTTTAAATTCTGACAACTAATAAACTACTGTATGTATATACTGTATGTGTATTGTAAATGCCACTTACAAAACATTTGTACTTAAATTTCACGTTTTGTGAAAAATAATCCAAAATTTAGATGTCAGTTGAGTATCCTATAACTTTATAGACAAATAAAAAAGAACTAAAACACAGTTTAGACTTGAAAGTAGAATGAAACCTTCAAGAACAAAATACTACTTTAATTCACTAGCTCCCAATCTTCTTTAAGAAGAGGTTGCTATCACTATGTCTCTTAATCTTTGTAGAATAAAACAAAAAATAAGGCTTTATTGTAAGCTCATTTTAGAATACTGAAGAAGTACTAGTTTCTTTTAACATTCATAATGAAGAAGCTATTTTCGCTGGCTCTTCGGCTTTGATAAATAAAAAGCCACCTTTCAAAAGTAAAACCAGGTTTAAATGATTATGTGTGAATGCAGATGCTTCATCAGTTTTCTCTCTGTCTGGTTCCTCCAAATTTCCACTACCTGGTATATTTCTAATCACCAGGTCATAGATGGGTGTATTCATACACATGGCTTCCATGCCTCCCACATAATATGGTGTATCCACTTTTATTTTTGCCATGGTAAACTTTTTCACTGTCCCATCAATTAGCACACACAGTAGTACCTTACCTGTTATTTGTTCATCAGGAACTAGAATGGTTTTCACCGCTGCACTACTGCATCCAGTGTCTCATAGAACCTTTCCAACATATCCTTCACCTACTGGTATGTTGTGGTTTGGTATTACCTCTTAATGTTTGTCACATGCTCAAATCACTACCGATACTGTTGATCCATTGGCTAACTTCAGCTGACCATTAGTCGTGGAAATGGCACTTCCTTCTTGTGGTAAATCTTACATGTTTCCTTGATTTTGTTTCTTCTGGCAGCCACATCCATGGCGACAGTCACTTTTTTTCTTGGCAGCACCATCGTTGTATGTAGTTCCAGCTGCTTTATGTTGAAATTTTTACTTTTGCTTGTTGATGATGGAATTACACTCTTTTGCAATGTGCCCCATTTTATAGCAAATATAACATCTCTTCTATTTGTTTGTTAATCTCCTGTTACCTTTAGTAATCTCCTGCTTCTAGTCAACCACCACTGGTTACGATTTTAACTGTATATTCTTGGACTTGCTGGTTATACTTCCTCCATGGGCTTCCATATACTGGTTTGCCACCTTTATCATCTCGTCCACGTCTTTTGGTGCTTTCTCCTTTAGGAACAGTGATATGTCAGTTGAGCACTTGATTATGAACTGTTCACGTATTAGGTTTGCCAATCCCTCAAAACTAATGTCACACTTGCCCATGTCAGTCCATCTTGTGAAGTATCGCCATAGACGTACCACAAACTGAAATACAGTTTCTCCAATGTCTGGTTTAATTTCTCTGAACTTCCAATGAAAACCTTCTTCCGGAAATTCATATCGTTTCGGCAATGCCACTTAATTTGTCATAGTCCATGGCATCTTCTGACACGATGCCTGCATACACTTGTAGGCCTTTTACTGTGAAATGTGGGCTGATACAGACTGCCCAATCACCTTTGTCCTAGTTCTGATTTTGGATAAGTCTTTCATACTTCTCTAGGAAAGCATCCATATCATCTTTCTGTTCATCAAATTTGGACAGCTTGGGTCGGGTGGCCCTGACCCCATTGTCATTCTTGGGTTCTTCATCTTTCTGTTGGGCGAGCTTGGCAATCTCAATTTGTGCTCTTATTCTCTCTATTTCCACTATCTCCTTTTTCAATCTGTGCTCTTATTCTTCCTCTGTTTCCAGTCTTTCCTTTCTCTCATTTTCTTCTTTTAATCTTTCTCTTTCCTTCTTTCTTCCTATCTTCTCTGCCTACACTCTTCTCTCTCTAGTTCTTGTTTAACATGCTATCGTAGTTCACTGTCTTTTAACCTTAGATGCTCACTTCTTTCAATCCATTTATCAAAATCTGTTGACATGGTTATATAGCATGATTGTTATCTCTACACTGTTTTCGCCTCCACTACCGTTGTGCGTATATAGGCTTTCATATTTCCGCTATCGTTCACGTCCTTTTTTTTTTACCGCTGTTTACCAGTGTATAATACTGGCTAGTTCGCCAAATATCAGGGTTTTATTATGTATATGTGGGCTTGGCTTCTACAGTAGGTGTCTGTGACTTGTTTATGATAAATTCAAACAATAGACGGACAGCACACACTTCAATTGTTTTAAAATAATATATTAAAAACAAGTCCAATGTATATACAAAAATTCTTTATAGTTGTATCTAAAACTCTAAATAATTCTCTTTTCTTGTCAAAAGTCGACACAGGTTGATTCAACTACTTTATAATCCAGTGTACAATGCGAACTATTTTTCTCTACTTTGTTTGTTGCTGTGATAGATTCACTTAAGTTACTCAGTGGGTTACCACAGTTGTATCCTGAACTTCAGACAATTGTCTCCTTTCATCAAAGTCCACACAGATGGGTTTAATTACTTTAGAACACACTTTGACAAGACAAATTATTCTTCTCATCTCTATTAAACTGTGAAACACACTTTAAAATATCGCCCATTACGGCTAATCACTCTCATGTTGGCTAACATCACGTTTTCCAATTTTTTTTCTGACTTATTTCCTTATATATAGAAACTTCAATGCTAACCATCTATTTTAAGGATCTATCTGTACTGATATTAGTAGTTACACCTTTGAATAATTTGTTAACATTAACGTTTTGTTTTTCTTAATTATATTACTCCTACCCATTGGATACTCACATTTGCCTGTAGTCTGCTTTTGATATTATTGGTTTTTCTAGCCAACTTGGTGGTAAGTGCTTGTGGACAACTTCCTTTGCTTTCTTTTCACCTCTTTTCAGTTGACCCTCAGAACTTTTACTATCACCAAAATGTACAATTCGGGTATAGACACTCACTTGAGAGATCTAGACCCTAATATTACATCAGCTGAGACTTCTAGACCTGTTCTGGTAAATAATATTGAGGAGACTTCACTCAAGAGTGTAGTTTGGTGGAATGTCTGAATGCAGTAAGGTTGTGTCTAAGCATTACAATGTATATTTATGCCTATTGAGCACTTCAGCCAAGAAACCTTAAGACTACCTCCAAATCTCTGCCCAGTCAAATACCATATTGGAAGTTCCAAGTAATGAAGCTGATGAAAGATTTGCTCCACAATAACTAAAGACATTCATCTTTCCTAAGATTAGGAAGATTTTAGGATCTATTCAGCACATTCAAAGTCTTGCTTCTAATGTTTTCTGGCTTGTGGTGGGTAAGATTCTTTCTATCCTCTTTCAGCAAATGTTACACTTCATCCCCTTCTAGTTCCTAGGGAACTTGCCAAAGAAAAGAATAATTACATTAACTTTCCTTCTCAATGGTAATTTTCCACTTTTTTTGGCTATATTTAATGATACTTTGGTTATAGGAGTTTGTACACCTCTCTGAAAACATGCTTGTACCTAAGCCTAAGAAGTTACTCATTGTAAACTCCCAGCATCCAATACCCTCACTTCTTTATGTTGTCAAAACATTTGAACACCTGATTAATGTTTATCTAACCTGGTCCTTGGAATCTCATTTCTATCCCTCACTTGGTCATCATGGGTTTCATTATCCAAGAAATATGCTGCTTTTGATAGCAGTTGGATGTTAATTATTGTTTGGGGTACCATGGTCACATTTTGAAGAGACTGAATAGTTTCCTCTACTACATAATCATTATTGTCAAACTTGGTGATGCTCACTGGCCTACTGGTTTCCAAATTATTGGTGGCCCCAATTGTTTGAAAACCAGTCTAGCACTTTTCAATATTATGTTTTTTGATCTGGAAAAAATGTTATTCACTTGGCATTTATACTGTTGATATTTGTGTGTAATAATTGATTTCTCTGTTCAATTCTCCCATAAACTTTGGTTAAACTATATGCCTGGGCTAGTAATTGGGTTTTGTTTCAATGCACACCTAGTCTTTACAAATTGACAAGCAAAGTTGAATTTTGATTATTTTAATATTTCTCACTTGTCAATCAAGAGTCTAGGATTATCACTATTTACGAGTTACTTTAGATACTGGCATGATATATCATTTGGTAGATAACTGCTACTGAGAAGCTGATTTTGGTTCCACTTGAGACTGACAGACCCCCCTCCCCATTGCATTATGTCATAGTTAAATTCGTTTACATATGATTATAGGTACTTTTTTGATCACTCTGCCAATTTCCTATGCAACAATGATCATATGCTTTGCGTGTAAGTCTGAGTAACTTGTCATGCACTTCTAATATCACTCTTAATATTTTGGTGGCTGAGCTCACTCTTGACCATCAATGGGATTTTCTTCAGGTTTTATTTAGTTTTAGACTTTTAAGTTTATCTGTCAGTACTCTCTGATCCTATTTTTATGACCACAAACAACATAACTTTTACCATTGGTATTGAAGCCATTTGTCAGTTCCTCTACAATGTGCTATTCATCTTTTCTCTGCTGAGATAAATCCAGAAAGATGTGTAAAATATACTGTAGTACATTACTTTTCTTCTTCTTGGTTGTTTAATGACTGGATTGTTGACTTCACTCTTGTCAACTTACCACACAATAGATGTCTTCTCCTCCTATGTCTAAAATGTTTGTCTGGTTTTACAGGAGCTTCATTAATATACAAAGATGGTTCTTTGCTTTGTATAATGGTCATATTGCATCTGCTATTTATATGCAAACCTTACTGCATTCCTGACTTCATGGAGATATTTCTTCCATGAAACTTATAACTATTCTCCTTGCCTTGCATTGGATTGCTATTGACGGATACAGCTTTTCTCCTGTATATATTCTTAATGATTCTAAAAGCAGCTTCCAAACTATATTTTCTTCCTCCTCATGGCCTGTCTTGGTTTTGGAATGTTGCCTCATTCTTAATCAACTAGAACACCTGGGTTTCAGAGTAGGATTTGTGAGTTTTAGGTAATGAATGTATTGACCATTTTGTTAAATGTGCTTATCACTGATCCTCTATAGATCTCCATTGAGTGTTTCAGATATTCACAACTGCTTAATCAAATACTTACACATGACCTGGTATTCACAATGGATATCTTTTTTTCTATGGTCACTTCACTTTTGAAATTTTAATTTGTCTATGATTATTCTAATTTTGTATCTACAATAGACATCTATACTCGTCTTTGTCTTTGCTCTTGTTACTTGTATTCTATGTTGTTTAAAAATGAGTATTGGTAACTTTTCCTAATGATTGCCTTGCAAAGCTGCACTTAAAACTATTTGTCATATTCTTTTTCAGTGCCTTAATTATTGTTTTTCACCTACTGTTGTCCCAGTCATTGATAGCAACTCCCCCCCCCCCCCCACTTCCTGAAATCTGTCTTGGAGGTGGAATATTTAATGCTGTGCCATCAACAAATGGTTGCTACCAAATTTAGAGGATTTACTTACTTATTTGTTTGTAATCTTCATTTTTCACAGATAGAAGTTATTAATCACTTTACACTAATTTTTTTTTAGCCTTTAAGACTTGTCATTTTTAATTCCCTCATAAATGTAGAACATCACCTATGTTTGACTCAACCTTTACAAAATATATAAGCCTAGAAGTCTGATAAACACCAGCAATCCAGAAAAAACGAACCAGTGGGTTCAGCATCTGAAATGCTAGTAATGATATAAGAATCATGCTTGACTAAGTAGACATTTTCAATTCAAACTGATTTAATGTAAACGATGATTACATTTTCGTTGTAAGGTAGCTTATTTTGACTTCATAATAAATTTCATGTAATAGTTATTATAGTAATATATTTATAATATTCATGCTAAATAATTATTTTGCTTAGATAAGCATGAACACAACATTATTTTCATCATTCTATGTTTAATTAAAACAAAAAGAAACTAAATAAGATTTTCAAACCAAAGCTGATCCAGGATTTTATCTAGAGGGGCAGCTACCTTATGGTGTTTGGGGCATACTTTTCCAGAAAACATTTTAAACTGTATTAACTGACTGATTCCAAATATATACTAAAGAAAACAGGTACAGTGGTGATTAGCCACTATAGCCACCCCTTCCTGAATCAGCCCCTGCAAGTAAAGTAAACATTTCTGAAACCATTTAAAGTATTTAGTTACATTTTTGTTGTAAGGTAGGTTATTCTAACTTCATAATAAATTTCATGTGATAGTTATAATAGTAATATATTCAATATATTTATAATATTCATGCTAAATAATTGTTTTGCTTAGATAAACATGAACAACATTATTTTCATCATTCTATGTTTAATTAAAACAAAAAGAAACTAAATAAGCTTTTCAAACCAAAGCTGATCCAGGATTTTATTTAGAGGGGCAGCTACTTGATAGTGTTTGGAGCATGCTTTCCCAGAAAACATTTTAAACTATATTAACATATTAGTGGTGGTTAGCCACTATAACCACCCCTTCCTGAATCAGCCCCTGCAAATAAAATAAATATTTCAAAAATTATGTAGAGTATTTTATTAACATTGTAAAAACTTTTTATCAAATTGTGGAATATAAATCATTTTCAATCATAACCGTAGCATTATTGTCTTCTCCAGCATAGATGGCATTATCAAGAAAAACACAAGGTTCTTCAGACAGAAGCATATGAGTGCCGTTTGTATGATTTCTATCACTTCCTAAACAATTTGTTTCCTCTTTTGGTGGGATGACTGAAAGCTCACATAATCTGAAAGGTACAGCATTGGAGTGGCCTGAAGTTTTAGCATCACTGCTACTAAATTGTGACAAATTCAAAGAATCAGAATTCTCCTTTCTTGAGTCTGAATTCAAAGCTTTTCCTCTATCAGCCTCAAATTCACCAAAACTGTGACACGTTTCTAAATTCTTTGACTTTGTTTTGTCAAAATCCACTTTAGCATATAAAACTAAGATAGCAGGATCTAGTACTACTGGTATGGAAGATTTAGAATTATTATTATTAGGGTGTTTATTATCCATTCCTTTTTGTTTGGTTTCAACATTATTTAAATCATTTTTACAGAGGTGAATATTTTGGTAAATAGTTTCTTTAGAGGTTGAACTTTTACTGGTTGAAGAATTACCATTTTCTTTAATAGAAGTTAAGTTTGGGGAGCTGTAGTCACTTGGAGGTTCAATGTTACTAAAGGTATCAATGTCCTTGTTGGTTGAATCAATAACTCTAGACTTCTGATTGCTATTTTCTAATGGCAATTCTGAGCAGTGATCTTTGTTTTGGTAAAGTGAATAATTAGCTGAAGTGTGTGTACTGGCCAGGTAAGAGGATGATGCAAAGCTGTTCAATTCTCTTGAAGGGAGAGAGATACACTGTTTTTCTAAAGCACATCTTTTTCTGTAACAATGAGAACAATAAAATTAAAAAATAATACATATTTTTGTGTTGATTATTAATAATTAAAATAATAGAAATTAATAAATTCAGTGAACTTTAAAACAGGTAGATTCAGAAAGTATTTAATCTATCAAATCAATAGAAAATGAATAGCAATGAAATCCTTTCATCTTCCCAAACCATGGTGTAGCCATGGCCCATGCACACAACTTCAGGCTCACCCAATCAGAATCTGCTTGATGGTTCTCATATTCCAATACATTGTATGTAGCACTTTTTGTAAGCCCCTTCTAACTTGCCTCTAAGGGTTTGTACACTTCCTACCTGTTTATTTTAACTCTAGGCCCACCCAGACTTTAATGCCTGGCTATGGCACTGCTATAAATTGGTTGATATGTTGGTACCCATCCAAACACACAACTGCAGAACATTTCCTTTATTTGTGTATGCTAAATAGATTGATCGTATGAGTTATGAGTGAGTGTTTAATTGAGCCTTATAGTGATAAAATGTGGTTATATCATGGTTGGTCTACACATGAGCATAATAATGGGTTCATATTTAGCAGAAGCACCATTACCAATTACCATTATCATCCAAGTAACCAACAGTGGTAATCTAAAGGAAATATGACCGCCATTAGTAAACAACTGTGGCCACCAACTGCTGGTGAAAAGCTAACAAAAAAAAAAATGATTGTAAAAGCTTGTAAAACGTAAAACATATTCCAACTGATTGGTTACTTTAACAGTGATCTTCAACCAGTTCAGAAACTGCTTCTCTCAGGTATAAGCAGGAAAGGATGTCTTAAGTGGTGCTCTGAGCACAAACTCTGAACAGTGAATAACTGAAAGCATACAATTTGGTTGCTCAGTTATATTTCATCCTTTTCAGTACTGACAGTAGAGTAAAAACATGGATAAAAGCACAGTAGATGCTAGTTGACCCTATCTGTGTTGTTTTCTTAGTGTAACTTTATGAAGATAGTATAATGGTGTGAGAACATTTTCATGGCAGGAGTTGGCAAGTGTTTTATAAAGCAGAGAGTGAAATTTCCTGCCTTATCATGCCTAAATATCTATATTTCCACTTTGATATACATAGAATCATCAAACATGATAATGCATTAACCTAATCAATATACTATGCTAACTTTGTCTGAAATTGATGGAGGACATGCCACTGATTTCCGTCATCTTCCATAGCAAGTGCAATGATTTTTGTATTTACATTTTTTTTAGACTTTTTATACATAACTACATAAGGACTAACTGAGTAATGATATTCATAATTTTGGGCTGGTATGCTAGAGGGAAGGCAATTACTGTAATTTTCCAAACATAATACACATTTTTTTCACTAAAACTCATCTAGAAATTTGGGTGCATATAACATATAGTAACAAATCTAAATGTTCTTTTTTTTTACAGCAAGTCCAGACCATCTTTCTGACACACATTTTGAACAATAATGCATACTTGGTAGAAATGTTGTGTTTCAATGGTATATCTTATGAATTTTTTTTAGTTTTAAGGCATAAGTGAGAATTGTCTCTTGTTTTCATTCATTTTCAATATTGTTATTACCACATTACATTTGATATTCAAAACTACAAATCCTTTTAGTGTAAATTTCAAGATCTCAGTATGAATCACTATTCGAATAGTTTGCGCAACTTCTCTACATAACAAGCTCTAAGGTGAACTTGCTTTTAGTAATTTTACAGATACTAATAGTTTGACAATGTTTATAATTCAGTCACTTCTGTTATCCTTTCTCTAATCAAATATTCCAGTTTCTGTCTGAGATAATCCATGAGTCACAGCTATTACCAATTGTCTATTAATATCTAGTTCCTAAAATGTTCAAAGGTAGTTCATGTATTACAACTGCTATATATTCTTCAGTTAAGAGTTCTAGTTTACAACATTTCAGAATAGTCCATATAATATAACTGTTTTCTATTTGGACTGCAAGTAATAAAACAGTCAGATGAATTTAGTGTTTTATTTTTTCCTAGTATGACATCACCATTAATAATTTTTGTATGATATATTTATAAATTATAAGATCTAGTTAAAATAGTTAGGCTTCCATGTTTTTATCCCTGTCAGGCACAATACCGAATGAATTTAATTAATGCATTCTGTTGACCTGCTACTAATAAAATTTCAAGGTGCAATTTAGCATAAATGCAAAATGATACAGTGTCTATGACCCACCTTCTCAGTATGATAAATCCAATCACAAACAGAATCACAATAATCCCCAGCAGTACAATTCCAATAATGATACCTGAAAAAATACATTTAGATAATTAGTCTGATAAATAAACTGTAAATACATATTTCCCTTCAATTTCTCAGATATGAACACTAGTTGACACATCCTGTATAGAGGGAAGATGATAATAGACTTTAGTGTTAATTTTAGTTCACTCCTGAAGTATGGTGCATTGAACAGGTAAACATTTTATAGGAGAGAGAGAATTAGTACTAGAATAATAATATTATTTAGATGTCCAACTGAACCTGTTGTTTAGCATTAACTAAATCCTCACAATTCCAAGTTAAGCAGGTGTATTTTGTGTAAAAAAAATAATTAATATTGTAGTTCTTCAGTTATATAAAATCACTCGGGGCTGCTTAAAGTATCAAACATTTAGAGCAGGATAAATAAAAGCGTGAATTGAGTAACAAAACAATTCTTGACTTGTTCTTTTAAAACCTTAAGAAACATATTTTAAGATAACAGGAGTTTTATGAATATGGCAAGTGTGACAGCAAGCTGCATTAATACAGTAATGATCCTAACTATTTCAAATGAAAACAGCAGTAGCAGTAAGTATTCCGAGGAACTTCAGCAATACAAATCCATTCTTAATTAAAACTAGTTTATTATTTCTGGATACAACTCTGTAATACACAGAATTTCCACTGTCACTTTAAATTTAACAATCTTTATAACACACGCTATAAATCACAGTGATTACCGCACTTTACTTACAGTGCCTACTGTTCGCTTGAATCAATTATCTCTATCTTCAATCTATCTGCATATATATCTCTTTGATCTATCTGCCTATATCGCTGGCTTTCTTTGCCAGGCTTATATACTAAAAAAAGAGGGCGTCTAGCATATACTCGGAGGTTTGCGGAGTTACCCTATAATTCTAGAAACTCCAGCGCGCATGCTCCCAGATTCGTATGACTTCCGCTGTCGTAACAATATAAACATTCTGTCTTCATTAATTATATACTTAAACAATGGTGAAAGTAGATTTTTTTTATATTAAAATGAATTAAATTCATAAACAAAAACATAACAGTATTAACAAGCACATCCAAACATTAACAAAACAGACAAAATACTAACCAAGGGTAGAGTCATTTCCATCCTCCAACTGTTTCATATCTGCATCTGTCTGAACTGTAAGACAAAAATAATTCTGATGAAGTGAAGACTAAGTGAAAATGTAATGATTTAAAAAAAAATACTTTTCTCTCTAAGAACATTCAATAATATAATTTAATGGTTTTGAAAAATGTGGGATGCAACAAATTTAGTTGAATGTGTAGATAACAACACAAACAATTATATCGTTTTCTCCGTGTAACTTAAATGATAATCAAAATGAATATGAAGCATTTGATCAGGTTATACAATACAACTCAACACATTACAATGAAAATGTGTTAATTTATCTAACTTTTGAAGTTAGTTAATCTAGTTCTGACTAAGATCTTATTACATTTCTCTTCAATTAAACAATTTAAATGCAGTGATGTGCATAGAGAGGTGGCTGGGTGGGTACAAGTCCCTGCCTTCTTCCTCTTATGCTCCAAAAGTGCCCCTTTTCTCAGTCTTACAAAATTGTCCACATCTACTAAAAGACACACCTGATTCCACACTTTCCTTATTGCAAGTTGACATAACATAATGTTTTGAGACAACAAGGGACCTATTGGTCCATTTAAAATAATAAAAACAAATTTAAAGCCAGCCCTTATCATTCATATACTTATCGAGCTCTTTCTTAAATTGACTTAAATTTACTGCCTCTACAACATCTGAAGGCAACCCTTTCCAAAGGTCAACCACTCTGTTAGAAAAATGAAACTGTCTTAGCTGAAGATGACTCCTATCTTGCAAACATTTATACTTGTGGCCCCTAGTCCTACTATTCTCATTGTTAAATATAAAAAAGATAATGCATCAACACTATCAATTCCCTTTACATCTTAAACACCTCAATGAGATCATTTCCAACTCTTCTTTTTTCAAGTGAAAACAATTTGAGAGATTTCAGCCTCTCCTCATATGACATTCCTCCATCCCAGACACCATTCTAGTAACCTTTCTCTAAACCCTTTAGAACAGTTCACTGTCTTTCCTAAGGTAAGGAACCCAAGATTGAACACAATATTCCAAATGTGGCCTAACCAGTGACCTGTACAATGAAATTATAACCTCTTTAGACTTGTATTCAATATTTTTATAGATACAACCTAAAATCCTATTTGCCTTACCACTAGCAACAGCACACCTATAGAGCTAATTTTTTTTACAAACCTTTTATATGGCACCTTGTCAAACGCTTTCTGAAAATCCAGATACATCAAATCTACACACTTTCCCTCATCTACATATACAGTAACCTTTTCAAAGAACGTAAAAAGATTTGTAAGGTAATATTTTCCCTTGGTGAATCCATGTTGACTATCCAATGGGGTGAAGTAGTGTTCTTGGGTAGGAGGCCAGTGAACAAGAAATTCCGGTAATTGTTCCTTGGAGGTGTTGCATAAATAGTTGGAAAGTATGGAATATCCTGTATCCAGATATTAAACTTACGTGATAGTAACATACTTTAGTCAGAAGTTATGAGTAGTCAATAAGACACGGGGTTTTAGAGTGGCCATATCGCCTTACCAACAACAATTACGCACACTAATTGGTTCCCTTCTTTAGATTCTCAAACCAAATTGTGCGACATTTCTTCATTATCCATTTGAAAGTGGAAACCTTGTTTTTGCTCTTCAAATCTGGCGAAAGACTATTACTGTTATCATTGTTCTTCTCAGCACCAAACCTATTTTTGATTACTGCTCAGCATCTTTGGACATGATAGGTAAATTTGCCTCAACAATGGCTGTAAAAAATCCCATCGTGATAGCATAGATAGTGGTTGCACAGGTTCTAAGTCGAAAATCTCGGAACCTTGCACTTGCTAGTAATCAAGGAAATAAAGGTGACTGATGAGGAGATGCCGAAGAGTAGCAAAGTTCTAGTCTTGGTAGGTGGGGTTTGGATCTATCTCCTGAAGACATACTTGACTTTACAGGTACAACAGCAGGCGAAGAAGAAAAAGGCTCAAGTAGCAGACTCGTGGGTTACATAACAAGAAGTACTGTTATTAACTACAGAGTTTCTGCTGAATATGTCCTATATTCTACACAAATTCACCAAAATCAGATAAATCCTAATTTTTTTTTTTACGTTTGATCCCTACTGTTAATGCGCCTCTGGTTGAGGAAGAGATCCAGTGTTAATACATCAGCAGGCCCAGCATGGCCAGTGGCTAGGGTGCTCGACTCGCAATCTGAGGGTCGCGGGTTCGAAT